ATATTCGAAAGGGGTTAGGATAAGTTAGATGGAGACACGATGAACAAGGGCCAAGAGCCGGTCAAATGGGAGATATGGGACATATATGAGAAGGTAAACTACAATTATTCTTTCTTTCAAAAGCACTACAAAGTGGGGTTCTTTTTCAAACAACAAAACTTTGAGTCAACTACATATAGAATCAAATGATATCCAACATGTTTTCAGTATTTTCTCAATAAAAGTGGGAGCGATTATGAACCGATTATGTGAACTTTAAGGATTGAGATCGAATAAGATGCATATTTGATTTTGTATATATATATTTTAGTAGATATGTCTTGTCTTACATATATATAATTTTTAACATTATTTTATTTTTTTGTTTTTGATAAAAAGGCAAATTGTATGAGATGCAGTATGTTTTGTTTTTCATTACTGCTTTATATTATATTTTCATAACCTATTTTGATATATTAGATGTGACGTCTTATACATTTATGTACTAGTTTACATTTGAAAATGCATGGAAATTCAACGTAATATGGTCTCATTTTGTGTAGGGGTACTACGGAGATTAAGAAAAACATCGAACCAAGTCGAACTGTAAAAATCAAATTCAGGGTTAGGTTCAATTGATGTCGTTGCAAAATCGATGTTAAGATTATTAAACTAGTTGTGTGTACGGTTTACTAATTGGAATTAGCGTTAGGTTCAAGTGATGCCATTTTGACCATGTGTAGATGACAATGGTGGGAAGGGGAGTATTGACGAGAGAGAAAACAAGGATTTACGTGGAGGAGACTGAGTGACAACATGATTAAGATGATCTCTGTGGAACATTCTTGGAGTTGAGTGAAGTAGTCGTCGTCAACGTAGTTCGATATTGTTGACCTGATGTAGATTGCCATTGTTGGTTGATTTTTGGGGATAATGGTTTCCTCTCTACGAGGGAGGGAGGGAGGCGGTAAGAGATGTCAAACGAATTAATTCCACTCAAATTGTGGAGGAACAGTAAATTACCCCAAATATTTCAATGATTGATTGCATTGTATTCCGGTTTTTTTAATTGAACTTCCTCAAGCTGCAATTCTTTATATATTTCTTGGTTTCTTGGTTCTGCACTCCTTTTGTGGCGGCCGTTTGAGCGTCCTTCTTCCGACTTTGGCCTTGTTTTGGTTGCAATCTCTTGTTGGTTTTAAAATGAGATGTTTATTATGTATTTTATTATGTTTATCGTTATAAATAAATAAATAAATATATATATATATATATATATTCAAATATGAAGTGTGCTTATCATGTATTTGATTATATATATTCAGTAGTCATATAAATTAGTCATCTAATTCAACTATAAATATAAGGAATT